GTAAAAAGTTTGCAAGTTTACGGATTTTACGTGTTTTACAATTTTATCGAGGCCTGTGTGAATTCTCTGAAAAATCTGTGGGACCGAATTATAAGGTTTGGTGGGGAAAAGTCAAATAATTATTACCATTTCGGTAATAATTATTTAGCTTTTTTAGCTGGGGTGTAAAAAATTTTGAAATTTTGAATATTAAAAATTTAATATTTTTAAACAAACTTTTTGAATGACTTACACACCGAAAATTATAAATTAGTGAAATTTATACGGTTTTACTTGGAAATATAGATGGGTTCGCTTCAATTGGTTCGCTATGAATTCAATCTCGGAGAAATGAAATCGTATTTACCTATTTATATGTTTTAAAAAATCAGTTGTAAAATTTTTTCATAATTTTAAATCGTATAATTTCCTAATTTTTCATATTCATTTTTACTTTAAAGATATCTTAAATTTGTTGCAATTTCGCACCGATTCAATAATTATGGTGAATTTGATATCCATAAATACGGTTTAGGTGTCTCCAATAGTCTCCATTCTGGATGTGGCGAGAAAAATTTTGGAAAGGAATTTTTACGAATAATGCAAATTCAGTTTTTTTTGAAAATTCAAATTTTTAATTTATAAAATTATTGTTCAAATTATTTTATCACGATGGCCGAATTGGTAATCATGTAATATTGGCACTGTGATTGTACATGTGAATAACATGGTAATCATTATTAAAATGGTTTACAGTTTTATTTCAAAAAATCGTATTTTTCCAAAATCGTATTTATCCCAAATTTTATTTATTCATAAAAAAACAAATTTTGATTCTTAATCTAGCATTTCCAAATCTAATTTATCGTCAATTCAGAAAATCTATAATACTTTAGGACATAAAATAATCAATAATTTTTTAAACACGGTCAAATTCCTACAATTTTGTGTAAGCTAAAGATATTAATTCATTAATTTTTTTAAAAAACATCAGAAATTTTATCTAAAAATATTTTCCTGGCACAAATTCATTCCACACATTTCCAGCATAACGACACCACCTTAAACGTACTTGCAGCATAAAATTGTCCATAATTGAGTGAATTTCAACAAATTTGTGATGTCTTCAAAGTTAAAAGTGACCATGAAAAATTATGAAATTGACCAGTTACAGTTTTCTTCCCTTTTTAAAATTATGACAGAATTGCTAACCTGATTTTTTTTACGTTTCACCAAAAAAATTATGATTTCGTTTAAACTGATTACCATATACACCATTCATCTGTATTTTTAAAATAACCGCTAAGAAATTTAATTAATTAATAATTACGGTGTGTAAGTCATACATTAAAAATTTTTTTTTTGCTAAAATCATGGGTTCAAAATTCTTCAAAAATTCGATTTATTTTCAAATTTTATATCAAACTTGCTAGTTTTGGGTAAAGTTTGTATTCCACAAGTCTAATTTTTTCTCTCGATATCCTCAAAATGTGAGAAATTATGGGTTCAAAAATTCAAATCTTTCAAATTCAAATTTTTCAAATTTTATGGCAAAGAAGGAACATTAAATGTTGTACCTCATTAATCTCGATAAATACACTCAAAAATACGAAAAACTGATATTTACCCAGAAAACTGAATAAATAAATATCTAAACTGAATTTGTTTGTATTGTTAGCATTACTATAAAAATTAGGATTTAATATCTAGATTAAATAAGCGACGCAGATTAAGAGGCATACAGTGTCGGACAGATGTCTACGTCCACATAGTCGCGTCAATTTCATTTTCAAATTGTCACTGAACTACTGAACCAATTTTCATCATTGATATATCAAATTCTCACAAATTTAACGTAATTTCATAGCACATTATTAGTTTTCCGCTAAAAAATTTATTTTAGGCCAGAGATGTATTTTAATTCAAAATGAAAACAATTGGATGGACAAAAGTCAACGTCCAGTAAGAGAAAACATACAAAAAAACTGTAATTTATAAGGAATGTTATAACAATTAATTTTTAATATTTGGTTGGGCCTCCGTTCGCTTTAAGGCGTCGAGTCATAGAGTTTACCAAATTCTTGGTCACATCTTCAGAAATGGTTTCCCAAACTTCAAGAATTCTGGATTTTAGGCCCGGAATTCCTGAAAAAGATTGTTTTCTTATTTCTCTTTCAATGTGGTCGCACAGATGCTCAATGGGATTCAAGTCTGGAGATTGGGGAGGCCATTCTAGCTTCGGAATTTTTTTTTCTTGAAGTATTCCATGGTGGACTTGGCAGAGTGTTTCGGATCGTTGTCTTGTTGGAAGGCAAATCGTCGTCCAAGTCCAAGTTTTCGAACAGATTCCTGGATATTACGGTCAAGTATTCCCTGGTACTTGTATTGGTCCATAATTCCGTCAATAAATTCCATTTTTCCTGCCCCACTTGAAGCCATGCATCCCCACACCATTACCGACCCGCCGCCGTGCTTAACTGTGGGGTTGAGATTTTTTGGATTCAAAGCTTCTTTTGGATATCTCCACACTCTACGACGCCCATCTGACCCAAAGACATTGAACTTTGACTCGTCAGTCCATAAAATATGTCCCAGAATGTTTGTGGCTTGGAAATGTGGTCTCTGGCAAACTTCACTCGTTTGGTTGCATTCCTCTGTACAATAAGAGGCTTCCGGACTGCTCTGTGGGATTTCAAATTTCCCTTGTTCAGTGTTCTTTGGATGGTCCTAGGACTAACTTGTTTGTCGAACATCTCCTTGATCTCGGTAGATAGCTTTGGAGCACTAAGTGAGGGTGTAACGTTGACTTTGTTGAGCACGTGGCGTACTTCTCGGTGAGCCAAAATCGGTTTTCGACCACTTCTGACCTTGTTTTGGACTGAACCATTAGCTTTAAAGTTCTTAATGATTGTCTGGATGGTTGTCCTTGCTAATTTATACTTGGTCCATATTTGTCTCTGCGACAGCCCCCTTTTTGTCCACCCTTCCAGTCTTGAATGACAAGATCTCGAATAGCGATAGGAATTTCCTTGCGTGTCGACGCCATCATATTTTTCTGGAAGAAAATTATTTAAACATTAATGCGGCATATGTTATTGATAGATTTATTAAGTTACCTGATTTTTGTTGTTGACAATTAAAGTGAAGTGGACGTAGACTTTTGTCCGCTCAAATTTCAACCTCTCTCGCTCTGCACTATGATTCTCAGTTTTCCCAGAATTTTCAGAAATAACTCATATGTTTTATGAAATTACGTTAAATTTGTGAGAATTTGATATATCAATGATGAAAATTGGTTCAGTAGTTCAGTGACAATTTGAAAATGAAATTGACGCGACTATGTGGACGTAGACATCTGTCCGACACTGTAATACCAAATCAAAAGTTGTATTAAATTTGTACCTAAGCAAAATTGGCTTATCGAAATTGAAATTAATGATTAGCAGGCTCTAAATTTTGTATAATCAAAATAAAATAATGATGTAAATTAGGAGCCAATATAAAATCTTTCTACGCAATTAAAAATGCAGACAAATTTTGAACGGGGCCCTGCTTGCAAAAAACTATCTACCAAAATGTTTTTTTAGGTGTGCGGAAAACCTTGTGGATTACGAATCGCTAAAACAATTAGATAATTTACGCTGTCATTGGTAACTTTGTAAAATGAGTAAGTTTTATAAAATAATTTTACAAACCGAACCATTAATCGGGATAAGTTTACATAAATTTGTGAACTCATTTTCTTCAGAAATATTTGCAAAATTTTGTAAGCGTAGAGAACTTACGGGTTTTACAATGTTACCAAGGCCCGCGTGATTGGCTTCAATACTGAATTGGTAAAAGTGTAGGTTGTTAATGGGGGCGAAATAGTAACAATTATTTGAGTAAATTTTTTGGCAAGGTTTCAAAAAAAATTATTTAAAATTTATTCAAAACATTTAAAACATTATTTATTCAAAACTTTTAAAATTTATTGCATGATTTACACACCGCAATTATAAATTGCTTAAATTTATACCGGCTATAATTGTAGATTTTGCAAATATCAAGATTTGAAAATCAAGATTATTAGAATCTTCCGGAACGGAAGACATCACTGTGTAGTGGTCGAGATCATGTAGTGAGTGAGACGCGCATGCCTATGTTCAAAGTAGAAAAAAGAGGGTTTGGTGAGCTCCTGCTGGGCGCCGAGAGAACCATTGTTTTGAAAGTATGCGAATCAACATATGTATAAAAAGAAAAGGGGGTGGGCAGGTGGGCAGTGATGTCTTCCGTTCCGGAAGATTCTAATAATCTTGATTTTGCTTCACGCTGCTACGCAGCGCTCGCAAAATCCACAATTATTCTTCATCTTCCTTCACTTCTTACATCACTGTGTAGTTGTTTAAAGTACATATGTTGATAAGGAAGAGACCGGGTAGAATATTATATGATTATCTTACAAACAGCACAAATTTATTATAAATCATATTTATGAATTACAACCCAGTACGGCATCAGCTAACATATTATTCGTAACAATTGGCTTGTGATAAAAAGTTGCAAAAGTTTTTGAGGTCGCAGACCAGCCAACACTTTTCATAATTACGTCTACATTTACACCCCTATTTGCAGCCGTTGATGACGCTGCATGTCGATAACTATGTGCACTAAACTCTTTAACATCAATACCAGCTAATTTAAGTACAGTACAAAGCCAGCGACTAATTGTCTGTGAAGTTACCTGACCATGAGGCTTTACAAACGAAATTAACAATTGATCACAATTTTGTAACCTAATTTCTTTAGTTTTATCTATGTATATCTTAAGACAAGCTACGGGACAAAGTCTAACATCATGGTAGGGAGGTAAAATTATTAATGGGTTCTGATTACGGATCGTGGTCGTTTTGAGTACGTCCGTCAATTTTATCTGAACAGGATTGGACCAAATTATGTTACTAATCTTTAAGGACTTTAAGGTCTGAACTCTTTGTGCTGTCGTTAAGGCTAAAATAGCAACAAGTTTTAAACTTAACCGTTCTAAATTTATAGTACTATTATCCCATTGGGAAATTAATTCTAAAATAGAAGAAGGATCCCAGGTCACATTATATTTACAAAGTGGGGGCTTGGATTTGTACACCCCCTTCATAAACTTACATATTAATTTATTTTCTCCTATATTTATATCGCTATTCATTCCAAAAACTGTAGACAATGCTGATCTAGCAGTATTTATAGAATTGTAACTTAGACCAGATTCAACCAAAGATGATAAAAAATTTAAATATTGGGAGATATCGATTTTCCAAACATCGTAACCCTTTTCAGTACAAAATTTTACATATTTTTTAAGTGACGATTCGTACTGCTTCCACGTACTTAGTGATAATGATTTTCTAATAATATTTATAACTTGATCTGGAAGTTCTAATTTAATCAATGCTGTCCTGATAATATAGCTGCCATCAATGTCACTTGGTAACTCAAGGGATGTGCCCTATTCAAATAAGGAGAAAATAATTCATTTTTATTCTTTGGAATTATTATTACTTGAGATATACTCATATCATTGAATAGTGGGAACCAGGCCTGAGTAGGCCAATAAGGAGCCACGACAATTCCTTCACACTTTTCTATTCTTATTTTATTTAAAACTCGAGGAATAAGAGAAAAAGGAGGAAATGCGTAAAAATATGTTGTCCAAGGTTGTGTAAATGCATCGACCCATTCGCAACCTGGAGAAGGCTTCCATGATACGAAGCAGTCACACTGTCGAGTTAAATTGGACGCAAACAAATCAATATTCGGATCACCAAGTTTGTTTTTAATTAAGTTGAAATTACTACTGTTAAGCATGAAGTCAAATTCGTCAACGCTTTCTCTAGATAAAGCGTCGGCTACAAAATTATCTTTTGTGCTAATATACGATGCAAAAATTGTTATTTGTCTTTCTTCGCACCACTGCCAAATTGACTTGGCAATCGCGTGAAGTTTTATAGATTTGCATCCACCATACTTATTTATGTATGAAATGGTGGTAGTGTTATCGGTACGGCACAAAATTTCCTTATTGGCACCAGAAAAACATTTCAATCCATTAAATAGTGCAATCATTTCTAACTCATTGATATCGTACCTGTTTTCTAATATTGACCAAAAACCTCTCGTCGTTTGACCATTACATTCTGCACCCCACCCTGTGAGTGATGCATCAGTTGTTATCCTCAAGTCAAACGAATCTTTCCTTAACCCCTTTTTAGCTGACTGTACGTGTGATAACCACCAATTTAGGTCTTTAATAGCTTCGTTAGACAGCACCATTTTTGCCAAAAATGAATTATTTGAATTTTCCAGTGCTAAAGTTTTTTCAATCTCTAATTGTCGTGTGTAAAGTTGACCATACTTCACAGCTGGACAGACAGAAATCAAAATACCAATTATTTCAGCTAACTTATGAATTGTGTTACAATTGGAAGACAAATACTTAATTATTTTTTGTACAAGGTTGTTTTTCTTTGATATCGGAAGGGTTAAGTTCATATCAATTGAACAAATTACAAATCCTAAAAATTTAACTTCACGAGAAGGAATTAATTGAGACTTTTTAAAATTTATTCTGATTCCTAGCTCTTCAAATAATTTAATTGTGAACTGAAGGTTGACAAGACAAGCTTCTAAAGTTCTTCCTATTGTTAATAAATCGTCTAAATAGCTCACGTTTTGAAATCCCCTTGATCGTAAATAAGCTAGAACTGGCTTCATAATTTTTGTGAATAACCAGGGGGCCAAATTCAAACCAAAACAAAGACAAGTGTATGCGTACAGGACGCCATTCCATCGAAACTTTAAATACTTTTGAGATTCGAGAGCTATTGGGATCATATAGTAAGCATCTTTCTGATCAATCACCGTCATGTAGCACCCTGGACTAACTAACTGTTTTGCCATTCTAATATCTTCTAATTTAAAGTGCGGTGCAAAAATAAAAGTATTAAGTTTCTTTAAGTTTAAAACAAATCGACGGCCCCCGTCTGATTTGGCAACTGTGAAGACTGGTGAAATAAATTGTCCAGCTTCTTCTTCAGAAATTTTGATTGCGCTACTTATAACTAATTCCGAAATCGCATCATTAATAAATTTGGACTCTGTTTCACTCATCTGTGGATTATTAGGCTCAGATAATTGTTGTGGCTCAGATTCGAATGGAATTTTATATCCCTGAATGGTTCTTAACACAAACCTATCCTTAGTAATTTTTTGCCACTCATTAACAAAATATTTTAGTTGACCTGCCTGATTTTTATTAGCTTGATGACTTGCTACTTCCTCTGGTTTTGATAATGTGGAGTTGATTGTTGAAGAAAGTTGTTTGTATGCCAACGTCGACGTGGAAACATTCCTCCCCTCTGTTGCTGCCCGAACTGCTGCCTCTGGGGAGTGAAGAGCCTTGGGCGATTCAAGTTTAAAGAACTGCGAGGATTAAAATAAGGTTGGGGACGTTGGTTCTGTCCTTGACGAGTAAATGACTTGCGAATAACATTGGATGCAGTTTTGGAAGCTTTTAAGGTTTCGTTCAGATCGGAACCGAAGAGAAATTCTGAGACTGGAATCTTTTACACAAAAATTTTGCATTTAGCACACCCTCAAATTTTTTGTTTACAAAAAATTATTACTATAAAAAATACCTGCGAGTTACATATCCCGTGGTATTCAGAGTTAATGTGCTTTTTTACTTCAAGTCGTCTCTTTTTGGAAATTGATTGGATTTGGTCACCCAAAATATTTCCCCCGTCAATTGCAAGTTTAAGAATGGAAATCTTCACCTCTTTTGGTATATTGCTTGCATTTTTCGCAACTTCATTTGCAATTTGTGCCAAAGCATTGAGTCCAATTCCAAGGGAGAATTGATTTTGTTGCATATTTAAATCGATAAAACGAGCCGGCCCTGGGAGGTGTGACCAAATCTCTTGATTCATTTTTGGACTAACAAACGGTTTACAATTGATTGGGATCTTGAAATTATTTTTCAAATTGTCTGAGGTCTCTTTTGATAGTGGACGACACATTGTTTTATTAAAGCCCTCAGCAACTTCAGCCATTATCTCCGGCCCAAATTCAATTGATTTCTCCACATCCCTTAACAAATCTTGAATTTCACTATCCAAAGGGGCCACATTATCAATTCCTAATAACAATCATTTGCTCGTAAATATAAACAGGTCAAATGAATATCAATTGATAGGATTAGTGAGCACAAAAATTTACCCTTCTCGCCTGATCCATTGAACAAATTTGCAAAAGCATTCGCCTCAGAATTCACATTTGCCGTATTCTCAACTTCATTATCAGATTCATCTGATAAATTAAGATCCCAGGATGCTCTTGGGGTTGTCATAATTCTGCGACATAATAATTCTAATTAGAATCTAGGTGAGGGCCGTATAGGAACACCTCGGGATTTTATTTGGGCCGTATAGGCACCAATTCCCGTACCTATTCAAGGTTGCTCAGAGATTTTATTTTACTGTTATTTTTCTTGTGGCAAAAACATCCTTCTTACGTGGAAAAACTGCCCACCCTCGTAAAAAATGGTTACCTTACCTTGTTGATTCAGGAGGGAAAGACGGGAAACACCCACTCGAAAATCCGGCGAGAAAAAATCCGTTGAAGAACGAAAAATCGGGAGCTCAGGCACACACGTCCACACTGCACTGCTATGAAAAAGACAATGGTTCTCTCGGCGCCCAGCAGGAGCTCACCAAACCCTCTTTTTTCTACTTTGAACATAGGCATGCGCGTCTCACTCACTACATGATCTCGACCACTACACAGTGATGTAAGAAGCGAAGGAAGATGAAGAATAATTTACAAAATACAGATAAATCCATGGTTTCTTTTTCCCATCAATTCAATCTTGGAGAAACAAAATCATATATATTTTTTGGTGAAACATGAAAAAAATCAGTTTCAAAATTTTGTCATAATTTTAAATCGTATACATAAGCTGTGTAATTTTCTATTTTGTGCATGTTAATTTTGTCTTTAAAAATTAATGTAAATCAAAAATTTGTTGGAACTGTACACCGATTTAAGAATTATAGGCAATTTGATATATGCGTAAATATGCTTAAGGTAAAGCCTTCTCTTGATTTTGGGACGAATTTTCCTGAAAGATTTTTAAAGAATAATGCAAAATATCGGATTTTTAAAAAAATTAGAGTTTTTAATTTACAAAACAATTGTTGCGGATATTTTTGATTTCTCCAAAGTAAAAAATTAATAAGAAAAAATAGGAAATTACACAGATTACTTACGATTTTAAAATTGTGATACGATTTTTTAAACTGATTTTTTACGTTTCACTTGTAATTATAAATTCGTTTAAACTGATACTCAGGTCTATCGGAGGATTCCATCTGAATTTTTTAAATAAGTTCTTCCAAATCACTAATTATTAATTACGGTGTACAAGTCAGTAAAATTTTAAATATTTTCTTTCCCAGAAATATAAGTAGGTTCAAAATCCCTGAAAAATTCAATTTCTGGAAATTTTATATCTATTTAACTTGCTAGTTTTCGGTAAAGTTTGTGCCCCACAAGTCTCATTTCTTATCTCGATATCCTCAAAGTGTTAAAAATCATGAAATCATATGAGTTAAAAATCGCTCAAGTAATTAATTTGATCACATTTTACATAATAGAATGAATATTTTTGGTAAACTTTTGTGACTCGTAAATCTCAATATACTCAAAGTACGAAAAACCTTTAAAGTATTTATTACACAGAAAACTGAAAAATTCCCAAAAACTGAATTTTTAAGCATTACTAACAAAATTAGGATTTCGTGTCTCCACTAAACTCTCAATTCACCATTACGAAGAACAATTTTTTTTAAATAAAATAATTTCCCCAATTAAACAAACTGATCTAAAATCTAATTGAGCAGTTAAAAAACTCAGTAATTTCTCAAACGGCGTATTGCAGTTGCAATAGCTTCGTACATACGAGATTTTGTACCAAGATGTTTTTATTGTGCGAAAAATCGTGTAAATTATGAATCGCTAAAATAATGAGCTAATGTACGCAGTCATTGATAACTTTGTAAAATTGATAGATTTTGTAAAATAATTTTACAAGCTTTTACAAAATAAAGAGATCAGAGTAAGTTTACAAAAATTTGTGGGCTAATTTTCCTTTAAAATATTTGCAAAGGTTTAAAAGTTTACGGAATTTACGGGTTATACAATCTTACTAACTATGCGATGACGCCAGCGGTCTCGCTCCGATTTTAATGAAACCACGATAATTATGTAGCCTTAGGTATTTAAATAATTGAAGACATGTTTCGGGATTTTTCATAATTCTCAGTTTAAACAAAGTTATGATGGTAAACGGGGCCGAAAATTCGCATTTTTCTCGTGAAGTTTTTCGTTTTTCTTTTTTGAGGGAGAAAAATGCGAATTTTCGGCCACTTATACCATTGTTTAAACTGAGCATTATGAAAAATCCCGAAACATGTGTTCAATTATTTACCTAAGGCTACATAATTTTCGTGGTTTCATAAAAATCGGAGCGAGACCGCTGGCGTCATCGCAATGTAAGGTCTGTGTGAATTGCCTTAGTAATTAATAATTGAGGAGGGTAAATATGTACGTCGCTTTATGAAATTACTATCTACACAGATTACGCAATTTAAGACTAGGGGAAAAACTGTAAGTGAAAATTTTGTAAATAAATATGCTTATTTTCTTCCATTAGAAAACTTATAGTTATCTATTGATATCCGAACGCCACAAGAGGTGTCTAAATTATGGAAATATTTATTCATTTTGTGTTAACAACTTACTTGAAAATAAATTCATTCGTGTAATGATTCATGTAAAAAGAGTCATTTTTATAGAGAGCGTACTCACGTCAACCTTCGCACATCTCGCAAATTGAGCAGTGCAACATAATTGCGAAGTTTTGCGAGATTCATGATGGCCGAATTGCCAACTATGAAATGGTAGCAGTGTGGTAGTTCATGTGAAGAAAATGATAATCGGTATTTATGTAAATGGGTACAATTCTACTCAATTTTATTTCAAAAAATTTTATTTTCCCAAAATTGTATTTACTCACAAAAAACAAATTTTTATTGTTACGCTAGCATTTCCAAAGCTTATTTATCGTCAATTCAGAAAATCTATATTACTTTAGAACATAAAATAATCCATAATTTTTTAAATAGGGTCTAATACCACCAATTTTTTTGTAATCTAAAAATTTTAATTTTTAAAAAGAAAACATTGGAAACTTTGTATAAAAATTTTTCTGGCACAAAATTCATTCCACACGTGTGGAAATGTGTGCACACATTTCGAGCATAACGACATCACCTTAATCAAACGTACTTGCGACCATAAAATTGTTCATAAAAATGGTGAAATTTAAACAATTTTTGTAAGTGTTCAGAGTTAAAAATGAATATTAGGAATTGGGAAATTACACAGGTTACGTACGTTTTTAAAATTGTGATAAAATTTTTAAACTTATTTTTTACGTTTCATCAAACATTATGATTTCGTACAGTTTCTAAAAGTCCAGCCCATCGGATGTAGAAAATCTGTATTTGTAAAATACATGCTTCGAAACAAATAATTAATAATTACGGTGTGTAGGTTATACATAATTTTTTATAAATATTTTCGTTGTTAACAAGTGTTCAAATTTTGAACTTCAAAATTCTTTAAAAATTAAAAATTCAATTTTTTCAAATTTTATATCAAACTTGTTAGCTTTGGGTAAAATTTGCACCCCATTTTGTCTCTCGAATATCCTCAAAGTGTGAAAATTTATATGGGTAAAAAATCGCTAAAAAATTCTATTTTTTCAAATTTTAGATCAGAGAATAATCATTTTTAGTGAAATTTTGGGCCTCATAAATCTCTATGTGCTCAAAGTATGAAAAACCTTGAAATTATTTATTACACAGAAAACTGATAAATTTCCGAAAACTTAATTTGTAAGAATCCAGGATTTCGTATCGGGATTAAACTCACAATTCACGATTTGAAGTACAAAAATTTGTTTCTTTAATAAAATTATCGCCTTAAAATTAATCTAAAATCTTGTTAAGCAGTTAAAAAACGCAGCGATATTTTAAACGGCGTGTTGCAAGAATTCGTACATATGAGACTTACTAACTTAAAAGATATTGCTTTTTTGTTATGTGGAAAACCTAATAGATTATGGGATTATGAATTTCTAAAGTAATGAGATAATTTACGCATTAATTGGTAACTTTGTAAAATTTGTAAATTTTGTATAAACAATTGCAAACTTTTACAAAATAAAGAGAATCCCTTTGATCGGAGTAAGTTTACACAAATATGTGTGTTTATTTTCCTTAGAAATATTTACCAAATTTTGGGCGTACTCACGACAACTTCTTATTTCGCATCGCAATTCATTTAGCAAACTTGCGAAGATCAAAATATTTCTGTCGTGAGGGGATTCGCAAAATATGACTTCGCAAATCTCTCCAATCTCGCAAATCTACTGAAAAATGTCTATTTTGGTATTGTTTCCATGGATTTCTTACATTTCCCTTGCTAGCGATGATGAGGATGAGTTTGCGAAGTAATTTTGCGAAATAAGAACATGCCCAATTGTTGGGTAAATTTGCGAAAAAAATCCCATGGTTTTCCAGCAAAATTTTTACGAAATCTCGCATATCTCGCAAAACTTCGCAAGTTATGTTGCTATGCTCAATTTGCGAGATATGCGAGATATGCGAAGTTTGACGTGAGTACGCTCTTTGTAAATGTTTACAAGTTTATGCACTCTTAGAAACCTGGTATTGAAAAAAACCTAACGGTATTGATACGTGACTCTACCGCCTTGGTATTAAATGGTTATACCATATTGGTACACGCTTAGAAAAATATACTTAATCCAGAGTAAAACATAAACCTATATCAACCAAAAAATGACTCGATACCAAATCAGATAAACAGTAAGATTTTGTGAAAGGGTAGCTTTCTGATTGTCTAAACATGGTAAATAAATATAAAACGATGAAGAATATTGTCACAAACCGGGTTCCATGGTGCAAAATGACAACATCGATAAGAACAGCTGCAATAAGTTGCCTATCTGCTTTAATGATCATTAAATTCTCTGGAATCTTGGTGGCGACGATTTTTTGTAAAGAAGTAGATTTCTGAAGGACCTCGTTTATATCCTACATAGAATATGGAAAAAGGACATCAAATGTGAGCGCACTTCACAGGTCATGCATAAATGACTCTAAAATTCACTCACAAATCCATAGATATTCCTACGTGACGAAGATTGACGGGGAATTTATTTTAGATTTGGAGCGGTCCCCGCCTGGCTTGAAACATTCTACATGCAAATTAAAATAAAACGAAATTTGAATTCTACTGAGTATAATAAATTAAATTGATATTGATGGATGAAATAATTACACTGTTCGAATTTGCTACTGCTGCTCCCGGAGAAGCAAATACCTGGTTATCAATTTGTGACCTTACTGGAAAACGGGTTTTAATTGGTACAAGATTTGACGGCACTAAAAGCTCTTGACAATTTTGTGAGTCCAAGACTGGAGCGGGTGGCAACTCCTGAAATATAATTCTTTAAGGGACAGTATTACAACCTCAAATATTGGCAAACTTATCAAACCTTATTTTTAATTTCCTCCTGATTTGAATGCGAGTTGGAGCTTTTTGAACTACATTTTAGTATTGACGGCGACAAGCACAGCCCCCTTTCACGTGCTTCTTTCTCGTCTAAAATGTCATTGGTATCAATTGAAATCCCAGCTTCAGAATGAGTTTCGTCTTGTAGAAATGAACATGAGAAATTTTCAGTCTCAGGAACATTGACGTGAAACGTCTGAAAAATTAAATACAAAATTATTTTTTCGCACTTACTTTATTGTTTAATTTAAATACACCCATAAATTCCAAAATCATTCAGAAATTAATCCAATAAACATTGTACATAGGAAATTAATGACTAAATTAATTTAATTGGAAGGATCATATAACTAGATAAATCATTTAATTTGAACGACTGCATTGAATACAAGGGCAGGAAGAAGGCAAAATCATTTATATCAATAATTCGGACAGATTTTTTATCATTTAGAACATAACTACAAAAATGGTTATCATACTCTCCACTCATTTCGGAAATTATTATACTACAGTCTCCATCTTCCAAAATAATTAATTCAATTCGACCAAACAACTGTTCCTCTTCTCTGCAGCCCAAGTACACAAAACTACCAATCCGATACTCCAACCCGTTTAAAGTTGCCTTGTTAGAAATTTTTACCATTTCCATGTTAAATCTGTCCCTAATTAAATTCTCGAATTCCAAAGACGATACTTGAACTGTGTCGTAAATATCACAATGAAAATCATTATGGTAGAACTCATTTTTAGACAACAGACGAAAACTTCGGGACAGTTGATGACGATAACAGACTGATTTGGCAATATTTCTAAAATTACAAGTCATATGCGCATTTGTTTTAAAGAATTTATGTTTTGCTTCATATGCCATGCTCCAAAAATAACGAAGTGGTCCAATCAATTCAATTGAACTTGCATAATGCAATAAATGGTGATGCTTTGGCTTGAGCAATTTCTTGACAAAATTCAAATTCCGAAATCAATGAGTCTACATATGTCAAACCACCCTTAGAGATACTTGGAGCCATTAGAATATCTAAAATTTCCCTAAACGTGAGAAACAAATTCCACTGAATATTCCCGACTGGGACCAAGTCATCAATTAGCAGAGGTAAAACCGTTATCAAGCATAGTGATTAGGAAGCATTCTGGCCAGATTTGGAATCACCTTTAAGGTAACTTTGTTTAGAAATTGAAGGCTTGGTATTGCAGAAATGTCTACCATAATCGAAGGATTCAATCCTGTGATTTAATTTGTCTAAGGTCATGAATTTTTGACTTATTAAGTGCTGAAGTAAAAGAATAACTAAATCCATACCAACTCCCTCAAATATATCATGCATGATATCGAACACTACCATCTTCGTAACATGGTGATATGGAGGCCGATTGAGTACTGATTCAAAATTAATTCCTGTTGCTGAAAAGTTATTAGACCTAAGGTCAGCAGTGTAGTTTTCTACCGTACGTAAATTAGCGTCATTTAAAATAAAAGATTTCTGGCATTCTTGTCTATGTAATCTACAACGTCGACATGGAAAATTGGCAGTGAAACCTTCTGTAAACCCTAAAATGGAGTGAAGGCCTAAATTATCCCCAGATAATTGAGCAAGTGCAACTTTCACATTCGTCTTTACCCCGTTAAGGTCAAAATCAATTCCCACATTCCACAGCGAAATTAATTCCTCAACTATTACTCGCACAACTGAATTTGATGAAGAAATTTTCATGTCAGAGCTTTTCACTGATGCTAACAGAAGAATATTATCTAACGATGACAACATAAATTTTGGGAGATCAAGAATCGAATAGTAGAAGTTACTCAGCTTATGCTTGCCAGCCTTCGACCCTAAAGGATTTGCTACCTCAGCCTCGTCAAAGTAAATATTTATAAATATTGTGTTTTTGGGGAAATTCATTTGGCTAAAAAGCAATCCATCGCGGAACGTAGTAAACACATCTCCATTATACGACTTGTTTAATTCAAGAATCTCAAAGAAACCAGGTTTTCGTAAAAGTTGGAGAAGTGACTCCGTAATTGAAATGTACTGCATTGTCACAGGGCGATAAAATTGTCTCTCCGGCGTGCGACGAAAAGCCAGGTCAGAGTCGAGTACAATTGGTTTGGAGTCGTTTTCAAGTCGTTTTCAGTCAAGTATTTGTCAAGCTTATACTTCGTATCTAGTCCATCAAAAGTTGAATCATCTCCATCCAAGCTTAATGGATCCATTTGCATAAGTTTTGACGAATCTGGGATTATCTCGGCATCCTGGTAGAATAAATCTTCGCATTCTTCCTTAATTTCAATCTCATCGTTAAAACTATCCAGTCTGGAATCTGTAATTTGAAAAAAATCGGGTTAGAAATGGCCATATGTGTTTTATGCAAAATAAATACAGATTCATGGAAAATTCAAACAAAAAAATCATAATTTGGGTTACAATTAAAATATACCTGCGACTTCTTCGGCCTCCACAATTTTTGCTCTTTTATTAACCTTGCAGTTTCTCTGACTAGTTTGTCGTGTAACTGCAAAAATTCATAATTCATTTACAAACTTTGTAACTTATTAAGGATCAAAAAATACTCCAACCTTTTTTCACCAATTTTGGCAGAATCTTTCCCAATTTTACTCTCGCCCCCTCGAAAAGTCTGTGCATGTCCGTTTGCAACGTAACAATTTCCTGATGAAGGGCGCAGACTTCTTTAATTGTGGTCAAACATGTGGCGCAGGATTCGATATTCGTCGTAAAATCTGAGTAGACCGAGCCATCCAGTTTTTTCCTGAGGTCCGTCGTCATGACCAGAGTTTTGAAGATTGTCGTCAATTCGGCGTAGCGACGACGCGGCTGAGATTCGGAGGCGAGGTCGGATAACCCACAGATAAAGCAGGGACCTCCTCCTCCATCGTTGGGTTGAGGAATTGTCGCCATGATTTTTTATTTGAGTCTGGAACAAAAATGAATCAAAATGTAATACTTGCAAAACGAACTTAATGTTTACACAAATAATTTTGACTACATAACCTTTATAAATTGAAATTATGAATGTTGGTTTCATAATTTCGTCGAAGATTTAAAATTTCATCACGAATTTACGAATAAAAATTAATTAACCCTAAAACTAACTAATATTGGATATGTACACACATTTTTGTATCCGGTACATCCCCTGAAGCCCAAAGTTTAAGCCTTTCTTACGTTGTAATCTCCTATACTTCAATCACCATCATTCCAATTAGCGCCGGAGATTGGTACAAAAAATGTTTGCTAGCCCTCCCCTTTCGTTATCCTTCGGATTTGTTTGTGAATCTTCCCAGGACGAAATGCTCGAACAGGTTGCCAATTTCTCCGTTGGGCTTGACGGATATCGACTTGCCATTTTTCGTTCTGTTTGACCCTCCCAGATTAATTAAGGCCTTGAATTCTTCATCTATTGGTTCCAACCATTCTTCCAGAAATGCAGGATTAAGTACGCTGACTCCATTAAGTAGGACCTCACCCACTTCAAGAATTCGGGACAGTTCCGGTTAGAGATGACGAGGCGGATCCTATTGTGAATTTAGTTATTCATATGTTAGTTTCAAAGATTAATTGGGTATAATTTAATTAAGGAGATTATATAACTCTCTTTTTGGGTTTATATACCCGTGTTATCTATCTGTCTGTCTGTCTGTCCGTCCGTCCGTCTTTTGATAACTCTCGTAAAACTTATCCAATCGACTTGAAATTTAGCACACACTTAGAAAATGCAAAATTAGGAATCAGTTTCGAAGATAAGCCAAATCCGTCAAGTGGTTGACCGGTATGGGTCATTTTAGTCGTTGTGGGTCAAGAGTCAGAAATTCTGACTCAGAATATTCAAAACAAAATGCTAAGTTTTTGGCACAGGGTGTCTTCTGGGTCAAGGTAGAATGGAATATATACCCTTTTACCTAGTGTGACCCTTCATCTATACCGAATTTAAAAAAATCATCTAATCAGGTTAAAATTTGGTAAAGAGGTTGTTAACGGGTTTTAATGAGTGAATATAAAGTAAAATTCCAAAAAATTTCATCGAATGGGATCCTGAAGATGACCCATATTGATTTTTTAAAATCGTATTTTGACCACTATAATTAATGAAGGGTCAGTTTACGGTAATTTGTGACACTTTGAGACAAGGCACAAAATTCTGTAGCATTTCACTGCAAGGTGTAGATTGACTAACTTCAAATGCATGTGAGATCATCTCACTGAAATGCACCTTATACCAGTGATGCTTAATCGGAATATTAATTCAATCATTCAATTCAGTTATTCAGTTCATTTATTCCATTAATTAATTCAATTCAATCATTCAATTCACAAAATTCGAAATTTTATGTACTCATTGATCATTCCTTTCATGAATTAATAACGCAAACAAATTGCTTAAAATATTTTGAATAATTCGCATTACTCATTACACAAACTTACCACCTTGAATGAATGTGACATATTTATAATTATGTAGGAACTTGTATATTTCATATAATAAACTACGACAATTACCCGTTATCTTCGTAGTCCTTCCTAGCATGCGACTCTCCATGGATTATGGACTTTTTCAGAGTTTTGAGTATATTGTGATGATCCTCTGATTTATCTTGATCAGGAATGCAATTAATTCCTAGCTTAATATCAACACATTTGAGTTGTTTGAACAGGTCTGGGGACTTCTTGATGTAGTCGACCACTTGAATAAATCCTTCTTCCTATAACATTTTTAAAAACGTATGAGTTCAGATAGAGGAAAATTATCGGTTATTATGCACTACGCAACAATATATAATTCCAATCAATATAATTAGTTTTAATTTCTTTAAGATGGGGAATTTATAACCAGAAAAAAATATTGTGTACGTAGTGGCGACACTTAAATAAATAGTGTTAATTTTAAATTTGCCACTAGAGGTCACTAATATAGTGACTCACTTTACAACTACTAAATAGCTTTCTGACCATATTTCTGACAACCGTGATAATCAAATACTTAATAGATAGCTATTTGTAGATTATTTACTTACCCATTCCTCATCAAATTCCTTGACACGATACTCCAAACTTCTAATGAAGACGTCACAGTTCGACATGTGATTCAAAATGATGTTTCTGCCTAGACTCACAAACCAGGAGTCATCCTTTTGCGCGATGAAACTATTCCGCCAAATTTTTGAAGAAGGCATGTCAAGGTTTTTCAAGAAACGCGGGTGGATTCTTGAATTAAGAACTAGAATATATTATACCCTTTTCAGGGTATAGTATATTCTGGAACGTTCCTTACTTTTATTTTCCAACTACTTTATTTCAAGTGCTGCGGAGTAATACATGCTACGTGGAATTAGTTAGGCGTCGCCGTTTGGTTATCTGTCTGCCTGATAAGGCGTAATATCCCCGTCATGTTAATCATACATATTTTTAGCAGCAGCGTTGCAACATTTATTTGAACTACACTCAGCCACAAAAGAATCACGCCATTAGACTAAAGTTGTTAAATATCTGTAATCAGGAAATCCAATTTAAGTAGAGTAGGTTTTTGTCAGACATTTGTGAGACAGTGAGTACTTTCCAGACACAAATGTATTATCGGTATTCTGGTGATTTATCAATTATATTGTCATGCAGATTTTTACCCTGAACATACATATTATACTGCTGATTGTAAAATAATGTATTAAACTATTTGCACTTCTCAGATCATAAATTCAGAACTAGCACAATATTGCAGACAGAATTCACAAAGCTACGCATTTAAATCAAAATTGTAATCCATAACAACATGTTTACCTGCACCAGGGCATCAAACGTTAAATCAATTCTTATCAGTAATGAACACCAAATTAATACTTTAGATGAAGTTCTCGGAATTTGTTTTAGTCTTGCCGTTACCCGAATAAATATTATGGACACGTACATCCGGACTGACGCACAAGTAAATAATTTTTTCTACAAAGGTTATCGTCCAATATATCTTTTCCCTGTATCTCAGCAACATTACCTCTTCCTCTTATTGGAATTTATTGGACAGAAATGCAACCAACCTAATAGGGTTAAAAAACTGGACGTTTTTCTAGTTACCAATACCTACCATAATAGACACATGGATGAGACTGAATATACAATTAATGCTCGAACACCGGCTGATGTTTATCAAAACATCTACAAGAAGGCCAACATGGGTGGAATGACTCAATTTAAATTTAAGTCGCAATCAAACTTTCATGATAGATCGATCAGGTAGAATATTTTAATTTCTATTTAATTTTTAAGTTAAAAATAGTTTTGCATCTCTGTAGCGTCCTTACTGAAGTTGCCGGAACTCCCACTGTGTACCAAATTCGGTTGGGGAAAGGTCTAGATTTTTATGAACCTTGTGATTGCAAAGTTTTCCGACCAAATAATAAATATGACTTTGATTCGGCCCAAAAACGCTATTTAGTAAACGAGAATAAACAATACGAGGCACAACATTATGTTGAATGTGTTGAAGGAAAAACTACCGACCAATTTTCCACCGTCCGAACCGACATTACGATAATTACTTGGAGAGAGATTGAGAATTTTAAGATGATTAAGTTATACGAAGCAATTTTCAAGTATAACACGAAAGGTGATATTGGTGATTTATTGGTATTCAAAAGTTAAGAAGTTATGGTAAGAGCAATAAGAAGAAACTGCTGCAATTTTTTGCATATTTGTTATCAAATTGGGAAAAGTTATTTATACATTACCTGACCTTACATTTATACATTATCTGATTGACTATAATAAACAAATATTTATTAACTCACTCTTCATTATTTATGTATGTATACTGGCTCATTAAAATATATGTGGACGCGAAAGTATCGATATTATTTACAGCTGTGAGGTAAAGGATACTATTTTCATAGATAGAATGGCCAGTTTCGCCAAATGTGACATGTTTTCGCCCCAAGTGATTTATTTTTGGCGAAAAAATTGGCCAAGAGGGTTATTCTCCAAACTGTCCGGATCCGGATCCTCATGGCTCTTGCAAAACAACGACACTTTACTTTTATGAAGATATAAAAGCCTATTTATTTATTCACTAGGCATACCACTGCGTTTGGAATATTAAAACTATAATAATTCAACTTTTTTATGTTTGCAATTATGTCGAATCTAATTTGTTCACTTTTCCCATGACTTGAAAAAATTGTGCACATTATATAGAACTCATCATATTTTTTTGGTAAGTCAAATCCCTATATGAAATGCTAGTTAGTATACATTATTTAAGCCAAATTATGTTGTATCATTCACTCACTCACTGTCGATGTGTGTAACTCTAAAATTTACGGATACCGCTTTACCGGTTCATATAATTATAAAAAGGTTGTTAGATACTATGCAGGCATGCGAAGTTTTAATGAAAATCACCAAATTCCACACGTACATACAAATGTATTTACATAGTTATGCTCTTTAGTCGATATAAATAATATTAATTTTGATAGCTTACTTGCAAACATAGGTATGTACATTTACAAAAACATTATCGCAAGTTATGGGTTTCATGAACACATTGCTGTCTTTCTTCCATCAACTTACAACTTTATGAATTCGTGTAATATAACGAAATAATGCATATCCGGGTACATTTGTCCTCTCTTTTCTATATATTTACTAACACGGCTGCTTCTGTGTTCCGTCGTACAGCTGACTTTCTCCCAACTTTCTCCTCATCCTGAATACTTGTTATGCTTTGCAACCTAACAGTCCGTATAAAAAAATGTAAACTAACTTCTCCATGGTGCTAATATATACATTTTGAGCGTTAATATATTTTAACAATTTTCTAAGGTGCTCCATAGTTTCATAAAATCAAATACCTGCAGAATAAAACTAATCTCTACGTTTTCTTGAATTATTCGCATCAGAATATAAATATATTAAATAAATATCTAGATCGAACTTCTAATATAGATATAACACGGTGCTTCTAAAGTTCGTTCATCGAGTTCATTTATGTAATAAAATATGTAACAGCATGTATGTACCTATCTCGTTTTTTATATAAAAAAATCTACCTATTTTAAATTCATAGGTACCTTTACCACAAAAATGTCTAATGACATATTTACATATTCCATCAACGAAAAAAATAGACACCTTGATTACAAAACTTTACGAGATTAATTCAGTTGACGTTCTTGATGTAAATTAATTTTGATGTAGTGAAAACTATGCGTGCTATGAAAATTGTGGTAGAACAGTATAAACTTCTAGATATTTATTTGTTCACACGTTTGGTAATAAATATGTACAAATAAGTACATACACATCTATAAGTAAGTATGTATGCCTTAACATACTATAGTGTTAAGGATAATGCACAACAAATTGTGCAGTAATAAACATGTTTAACAGCTTATGTTGTAGAACTTATATAGAGTTTGATTTGCAACTATTAGTCTGGTCATAATTTAATATTTCATCTGATATGTAATGCTCATGTATGTAAGCAGAGAAATATATAAATAAGCGAAATATTATTTCGGAAACAGTAACCATTTCGATAATTCTTATTTATTTAGACAATATTAAATTTACTTTGAGCAAAAATCTACCCAATATTTGTACAGGAAAGCTGAAACATTATTTTGACTATGTAATCCTAAATCGGAAATTCTGATTTGCACATGGATTATTTGATACTGTTTAAAATATGCGTGTGCCTGTTATGATACAATTTATGATAAAAAAGAGTTAATGCTTTGTGACGCTTTACTTCAGCAATTCATTTTTCAAAGGACTCAGTGAAGCCAAAGTAAATAAAAAATTTTTTCGAAGTTAGGCTTAATTTTTATGAAGATGAGTAAATTGAATATTTTCCATGACATAATCCGATTGGCTTTTGGCAAACTCAATGTCCATCCTTGTCAACTTTTCATCAATTTTAACCAATTGGTTGGAAATAGTTCGATGTTTATTTTCTTCTTGTTGAATCTTGATTTTTAGTTTGGCTGGGCTATAGGAAATAAATATGTCCAGAGAATACAGACATGTAAGATAAAATTATTTGCATAACTAAATATATATGGCATGCATTCATAAGGGTAAAAATAGTTCAGTTCAAGAGACACTTCCTGTAATGGATATAATCATAAGTAGAGTTGCCGATGAGACTAGCTATACCCCATCTTATCTCATCTGACCACCTCGTGAGATAAGGCCAAAGTTAAATGAGATACTGAAAATTAATCTCGTCTCATTTAACTTGAGATGAGATGAGACGAGATGAGACACGCGAGGACTAATCCATCTCATCTCACAATTGACACGTGACATGTCATTTAACCGACACCTCATCTCGTATTATCTCATCTCATTTCCTGATCAGATCATCTCATCCCAGCGGCAACGCTAATAATAAGAAAGCAAATATTTAAAACTTACTCTCCATTCTCGTTGTCCAGTTGAACTTGTAATTGTTCAAGTCTACATGAAGAAATTTTTTGCGCTTCCACCAAGTCGTCTCGTTTTCTTATAATTTTCTTTGGGATCAAAACAATAAATTGAGATACGAATCGATTTTTGAAAATTATGCACTAATCCTAAGACCTACATTCATTTCGGTTTTATCTCTTCCTTCAGGCGGAACCCGACGAGTACGTCGCCCTTTTCTCGAGAAGTGGGCCTCAATTTAAAAAAATAGATATTTACTCAATTTATTGAATATTCTATTGTTAACTTTTTTACGGAAACTAATATTCCTCACTTTGACACTTACAAAGCCTGATACTGCCAATATCAGAAAGACACCGAGACCGAGTATATGGATTAATGCCATCTTCTTGATCCTAAATTGTGTAAAATAAATGTATTTGAACGTTGCGTTAAATAAGACTCATCATATTTGAGAAGTTTTCAATATTACCGAGTCGTGGTTTGATTGACAATTTTAATCACAAACTTTCAGTATTTTCGACTCCTCCTTTACTCGAACGATATGGAAATAAGGAACTTTTTATCTGGAGAGTGAATACAAATAGAGGAAAACGGCTTACATACACAAATAAGGAAGACAAAGTGTTTGCTTTGTAAACAAAACGGTTTGAATGTGATATCTATTTTTCGTTCAGTTTTGCGTATTTACATTTGTTAACGTTAAATTTGGATTATATATTTACACAGAAATTTGCTATCGGAAAGCAAGGATTTATCCTGAACCCAGATCTTACTTTATTTTTGCGTATACATTTACTGTACGCATAACTCAACCGAGGACACATATCAGTAAACTACAGACTGCAGTTTACAGTTTAAGTTAGGAACCAGGTATTTGGGAATGATATGTTATGCAGATTGTTGGTGATAAATATATTGTAAAGAAACCCGGGATATCCAGTTTAAAATAAATGAAAACATTTATTCAATACACTGTTAAAAGTCCGGTAGAGTCATATATAGACTACGTGACAGTAATGCTTTCGGTAAGTATTTATTATGAGTTGGTAAATACTCAATATCGCGCGGTGTATAACTTCTTTACCAAACGTATACCGTGCGATATTAAATTGATCACCAAGCGCGTTAGAGTCATATATAGACACCTAACGGTAATGATTCATTATCAAACTTCTGAGAGTGTATGTTTGTTACCCGGTAAATGTATTGTATTTTTGAACTATAATAATCCTCATCCGCCGATGATAATACTCGAGGATATTTATGTATAAGTATGTATTTACATATGCAATCGATACAGAGTATGCTCTTGCTATCTTTAACAGCATTATGTATTCCTTTCTTTCATTAAATAAATGAAGAACATGAACTATGCTAATTTATGTAGGTTAATTTTTTAAATTTTGGTTTGACAATAACTAACAAAATTCCTATGCAGAATTGACATTTGGTCGTTCTACGTTCGACTCTACCGGACTTTTAACAGTGTATTGAATAAATGTTTTCACATAACATCATAAATGTGACAAGTTTATGACAAATTGTTTATACTCAAGCCTTAAATTCTTAAGGTTTAGCTAAACCTCAGTTATAGCCATTGTAGCCGGTGTGGTCTAAGGCGCCGGAGCAGTATCAGTATTAACGGCTGCTATCGTGGTTGCCGTCGAGGTTGTAAGAAACATAAATTTCTATTGAGCTAAAAAAATATTATTACAAAAAGTCATTCAGATTTCAAATTGTAGACGTTGACTAAGCCGAAAAAAAGACAATTATTCTGAAGAAATTCTCACCTTCTTCAGAAAACCACCAAGGAACTTTCTGTAAGTCTAAACTTGCAATTTCCAATTAAATTTTATAATTTTAAGTGGACCGGACACGTAAATAGGTAAGGTTGATGCATTACTCAAGGAACGAATTTTTTAAAACATTTTAAGTAATTGTCTATTGATCTGTAAATCTGAAAATTTTAATGTTCCTTATTTTAAATTTATTGCATGATTTTCACACCGGAATTAGTAACGAAATCTATACAGCTTTTACTTTACAAAATGCAGATCGAATTGCATGATTTTCACACCGGAATTAGTAACGAAATCTATACAGCTTTTACTTTACAAAATGCAGATCGAATTGCATGATTTTCACACCGGAATTAGTAACGAAATCTATACAGCTTTTACTTTACAAAATGCAGATCGAATGCTCTTGTTGAATGTCAATATAATCTCAAAGAAATAAAATAATATTTATTTGTTTCTGACACATAAAAAAATCAGTTTAAAAATTTTGTCATCATTTACAAAGTTAATTTATTTGCTTAAGTTATGCTTCTAACTACTACTTCAGGACATAAAATAATCTATCATTTTTTAAACAGGGTCTAATTCGAACAATTTTTTGTAAACTAAAAATTTTAATTTTTCTAAAACAAAACAGGAAACTTTGTATACAAATTTTCCTGGTACAAATTCATTCCACACATTTCAAGCTTGACGGCATCACCTTGCGATCATAAAATTATCCATAATTGAGTAAAATTTCAATAAGTTTTTGATATCTCCAAAGTAAAAAAATAACACAAAAAACTAAGAAATTACACAGCTTACGTACATTTTTAAAATTACGACAAAATTTCTAAACTGATTTTCTTAACATTTCACCAAAAAATATAAATTCGTTTTGAACTGAACGTCAGAAGGGGAGTCGTATCTGTATTTGTAAAATAAGTGCTTACAAACTTGTAATTGATAATTACGGTGTGGAAGTAATATAATTTTTCAAAAATACTTTCCTCTCTAGAAATATAGGTTAAAAATCCTTCAAAAATTGAATTGCAAAAAATATTATATCGAAATTGTCAGTTTGTTTTAACTTTAGTTTTGGGTAAAATTTGTGCCTCACAAGCCTCACTTTTTCTCTCGATATGCTTAAAGTGTGAAAAATTATGAAATTTTTGGGTTAAAATTCCAAATGTTGTATTAAATTTGTACCTCGGCTAAAATTGGCTTATCGAAATTTAAATTGAGGATTAGCAGGCACTAATTTGTTTATAAATAAAATAATTATCACAATTGGATTAGAAGCCAATCTAAAATCTTGATAAGCAGTTAAAAAACGTAGCGATGTTTTAAACGGCGTACTACAGAAAAAAATTCGTACATGAGACTTTCCCTCAATAGTTTTTTTGCTATTCGAAAAACCTTGTAGATTATGAATTGCTAAACTAATAAACCGTCGCAAACGCGCATACGGAAGTAGCTTCAGACGTACTTCACCCCAAACGGTCCCACCACAACTCGGGAACACTTAATTTCACTCTATTTCACCTATAGATTAATTTTTTGTAAAAATCTCATTTTGCCCCGACCACACCCCCTGGCGACGAGGGGGTGTGGAACAACTCGGGAACACTTAATTTCACTCTATTTCATCTATAGATTAATTTTTTATAAAAATCTCATTTTGCCCCAACCACACCCCTGGCGCCTAGGGGGTGTGGCACAACTCCGGAACACATAATTTTACTCTATTTCACCTATAGATTAAATTGCACTAAAAATCTCATTTTGCCCCAACCACACCCGCTGGCGCCGAAGGGGTGCGGCAAAATCGGGGAAACACTCAATTTCACTTAATTTCACTTAATTTCATTTAATTTCACTCAATTTCACTTAATTTTACCCATAGAATAAATTGCACTAAAAATCTCATTTTGCCCCAACCACACCCCCTGGGGCCGAGGGGGTGTGGCACAATCGGGGAACCACTTAATTTCACTTAATTTCATTTAATTTCACTCAATTTCACCTAATTTTACCCATAGATTAAATTGCACTAAAAATCTCATTTTGCCCCAACCACACCCCCTGGCGCCGAGGGGGTGTGGCACAACTCCGGAACACATAATTTTACTCTATTTCACCTATAGATTAAATTGCACTAAAAATCTCATTTTGCCCCGACCACACCCCCTGTCGCCAAAGGGGGTGTGGTCCGGTTGCCCCCAAAAGTTGATAGGATCCTCCCCCTGGGGTCCTATGTATGATGGCGAAAACCGATTTCGATTATCTCAATCCGTTCTCCTGATATCCTGCTGACAGACAGACGGACAGACAGACAGACAGACAGACAGACAGACAGACAGACAGACAGACAAAGTCTTCACATAAAGTAGCTGAAGCTACTTAATAAGGTAATTCATGCAGTCCTTGGTAACTTTGGTAAAATTGGTAAGGTTTATAAAATAATTTTACAAACTTTTACAAAATAAAGAGACACCCATGATCGAAGTAAGTTTACACAAAATTGTGGGCTAATTTTCCTTAGAAATATTTGTAAAAGTTGGTAAGTTTACGGAATTTACGGGTTTTACAATGTTACCAAATCCTGTGTGAATTGCCTCAATAATTAATAATTTAAGAGCGTAAATATGTAAATATACCGTTTTATAAAATTACTCTCTACACAGTTAACGCGATTTAAGATTGCATGTCAAATTGACCCAGTCACATTGACCCACGACACATTGACCCGCTCATATTGACCCAACGACAGATTGACCCAGCACCATATTGACCCACGTCATATTGACCCCATGCTATACCTGGACATACTGTATTTTTCATACAAAAAAACTTAATTTTATTTCATATTTCATTTCTGGTCAAATATTCCAATCAAAAATTGAATTGTTCTAATAATTATTGGTCGTCTTTTTCTTATGTGAGGCTAATTTAAAGTATTGATGAAAGCCACAACCCTCCGATACAATTTCAAAAACATTAAATATATTCTGTAATTTATTTAATACAACGACAAGAACCCGGGTGCCGTCGTCAAAAATTGAGCAAAGAGACATAAAAGAGAAAAAGGCATCAAAAAGCCAAATCGGCACGCAAAAAGATAATAGGGCATTGGAAAAGGCATGACGCAATAGCAAAAAGGCTGCCTTCCTTGCACACACTGCTTGGACGACTACACTGTGCTACAGTGCATCTTCAAAATCTGAACAAAATACAATTTTTGTCAACCGTTTGATCATATTTTCTTAATATTTTCCCCCATTGAGTGGGTGTGGTGGGCGCAAATGTGGCCATACCATCAAAACACTTAGGGGCTTATGTTCATTGCATGTGCACTCACTCTTCTTAAATTAAGAATCTTAATACAAATACCTATTATAATAGGTATTATTACCGTACTAGTATACTAGTACCGTTGGTTAAATGATTTCGTTACTAATAGATTAAGGAATTTTACAAAAGGAGGACTAATGGTTATTAGAACAATTCAATTTTTGACAGGAATATTTGACCAGAAATGAAACATGAAATAAAGTTAAGTTTTTTGTATGAAAAATACAGTATGTCCAGGTATAGCATGGGGTCAATATGACGTGGGTCAATATGACGTGGGTCAATATGGTGCCGGGTCAATCTGTCGCTGGGTCAATATGGTGCCGGGTCAATCTGTCGTTGGGTCAATATGAGCGGGTAAATGTGTCGTGGGTCAATGTGACTGGGTCAATTTGACGCCCGACCCGATTTAAGACTATGGAAAAATTATGAGTAAAAACTTTATTAAAATCCTTATTGTCTCGCGTTGGAAAACCCGATAGATATTTATCTATTGATTTTCGAACACCACAAAAAACTTCAAAAATTTTCAAAACTGTATCCCAACCAAAAAATTTTCTATTTTTGTTAACAATTTACTATAAAGTAAGCTTTATTTATGTAATGATTTATACAAAATAAGTTATTTTTCTCGTCTGGAACTCATTTCCCTAGTTTGATTTTAAACGTATAGGTAGGTATTTTAGGAAATATAAATTTCCGAAATTTTCATCTAATATGCCGTGAAAAGTTTTGTGTTCTCGAAAAAATAAGAGTTCAATTCGCAAAAACGGGTTACAAATCGGCACATATATTTTTCACTGTGAAATAACCGTTTCGGAGTCTCTAATAACTCGACAAAATCATCATCTATCATTTCCAAAGCTTATTTATCGTCAACTCAAAAAATCTATACTACTTTAGGACATAAAATAATCCATAATTTTTTAAACAGGGTCTAGCTCCAACAACTTTTTGGTAAACTAAACATTTTAATCTTTTCATGAAGAAGACATCGGAAATTTTATATGAAAATTTTCCTGTCACAAATTTCGAGCATGACCACACCACCTTAAACGTATTTACTTACAACTTCCGACCATAAAATTGTTCATAATTGAGTGAAATTTCAACAAATTTTTCATATCTCCAAAGTAAAAAGAATGTATACAAAAAAGTAAGAATTTACAAAGGTTACGTACGATTTTAAAATTGTATTTTTTTTTCATTTCATCAAAAAATTATGAGGTTTAAACTGACAGTCAGGTAAATAGGAGGATTTGCATCTGTAATTGCTAAATAAATACTTCCAAACTAGTAATTATTAATTACGGTGTGCAAGTCATAATAATATTTTGAAATATTTTCCTTGCTAGAAATATAGGTTCAAAATCCTTCAAAAATTCAAGTTTTCAAATTTTATACCGAACTTGTTACTTTGCGGTAAAGTTTGTCGCCAACAAATCTCATTCTTCTTTCGATATCCTCAAAGCGTGAAAAATTATGAAATTATATGGGTAAAAAAATCCCTTAAAAATTCAATTTTATCACATTTTACATTATAGAAGGAATATTTTTGGTCAAATTTTGTGCCTCGTAAATCTCGATTTACTCCAAGTACGAAAAACCTTGAAATTAGTTATTACACAGAATCTGATAAATTACTAAAAACAGAATTTTTAAGCATTACTAACAAAAATCAAGATTTCCTACCTCGATTAAACTCACAATTCACCATTGGCAAGTATAAAAATTTGTTTTTTTACATAAAATAATTTCCAGAATTGAAAAAAATAATCTAAAGTTTTGCTAATTATTCTAAAAACTCAGCAAAATTTAAAACGGCGTACTGCAGTTGCAAAAAGTTCGTACAAATTTACGTTATCTAATTTTAATCCGATAGAGTAAAATATTTCAAAACCATGTAAATGGCCAGAAACAAAAGTTTTTTAAACTTTAATGTTGAAAAAAACATGCCAAAATTGAATACAATTCGAAACAACTGGTTACAAATCGACGCATATATTTTTCCTTGGGATGGCAACCGTTTCGGAATAGTTCCTCTAATATCTGGACTAAATCTTAAAGCGAGTATTTCCACATTTTCATATTTCTAGAAACAGCGAAAAACTAATTCAACACAAATTTCATGTACCAACATTTTATGAAGAAATATAAAATTTATAAAATTTATAAATGGTGTGAAAGTCCAAAATTTGAGAAACTAAATTTGTAACGCAAAGTTTGAATGGATACGGAATTTATGACATGCTTGAAAAATTCCGCATTTTCATAGGTTACATTTCTATACGAATAAAAAGCTTGCGATGAATCAGAATTTGATTGAGAAATTAAAAAGTTCAACGTTTGTTTCATAACGCAAAATAGATTAGTAATTAAAACCAAAATTGGCAACGCTATAAAAATTTCAAGTTTGTAAATAATTCACGCATTCTTTGATAACATTGTAAATTTCGGAAACTTATACATTTTTACAAATAATTGTGAGGAAAATTAGCTCATAAATTAATTGTAAACTTGATGAAGTGCGTCTCTTTATTTGTAAAAGTTTGTAAATTATTTTAAACCCTACACTTTTACCAATTAAGTAACAGATTTTTATACATTGGGACAATTTACGCAGTTCTTGGTAACATTGTAAAATTCGAAAATTCTGTAAATGCTAAAATTTTTGAGACTTAATTAAAAAAATTATGATTTTTCTTAACCCAAGTCTTAAAGAATGCATCTGTATTTCTAAACACTTATGAGAAGTTCGGTAAATAGTAATTACGGTGTGTGAGTCGTACAATTTTTGTGTATTTTTTTTGTCAGAAATATATTTTAAAAACCACTCGTAAATTCAATTTTGAACCAAACTTCTTACTTCTGGATAAATCGTATTTTTCACAAATCTCATTGATATCCCTAAAGTGGTGAAAAACTATAAAATTATATGGGTTAAAAATCACTCAAAAAAAATTCAATTTTTTCAAATTTTGTATCAAAAAAGAGATATGGCTGGCTAAATTTTGTACCCCATAAATCAAGGAACATTTAACACTATAGTAAAATAATTTGAGTCAAAATTTCATAAAAATGTTTGGTTTCTCCCGGCAGAAAATTCAATACTTGAAATTAATCATGGAATTGTTTCCATAGCGATCTTTAGACATTCTATAGCTATAAAATATTTCAAATATTTTCAAAACGGTGTCTAAACCTGAAAATTTTTGTTTTTTGTTAACAATTTACCTTAAAGAAGACTTTAGTCGTGCAATGGTTCATATAAAAAGGGTTATTTTTCCCATTTGTAACTCATTCTTATAGGCTCACGTTAAACGTGAACGTAGGTATTTTAGGAAATATAAATTTCGAAAAACTTCATGTAAACCGTGAAAAGTTTTGTATTCTCAAAAACATTAATTTTCTAACCATGGTTGAATTCTTAAAAAAATGTTTTTTCGTTGCAAAACACTTGGAAATCTAACTTTAGCAAATTTAACAATGAAATATATTATAAAATTATGTTAACAGCGTCAAGCAAAAGTGTTTGTTTCCTTTCAGAAATATGAGAAAATTGAATACAATTCCTCAAAAACTGGGAATCGCCGCATAAATTTTCATCGTTATGATAAATTTGGTTTTGTATTTTTTTAGAATTTTTAATTTTTGCTATTTTTTTAAAATCGTGCTAAATCAGGTAATTACATTTTGTCACATTTCTAGAAATACCAAAAATTTTTTGGTTGCAGTAAGTAAGCAATAATGCGATCTATCAACTTTTAATTATATTAAAAACAAATTAATAAAATTGTAAATGGAGTGAAAGTCCGAAAAGTTAGTAAATACGGAATTTATGGCATTACCTAGATAAATTCCGCATTTATATATTTTCCTATTTCTAGAATTAACAAAAAATACACTCAAGACCTGCGACATCCAGATCTACGCTTTACTAAGAAATTTCTAAATTGTGTCATTTGCAGCAAAAAATTTGATCGAATTTATGTCATGCTTAAAAAATTCCGCATTTATTTATATATATATTTTATATTTTAACATTTCTATATGAATAACAAAACTTACAATAGGGTCTCCCAAGTTTGTAAAAAAGATCTGAAAAAGCGAAAAGCTAAAAAATCTGAAATCCGCTTTTTTCGCTCAATACTTGACTGTCCCGATTTTTTATCGCTTGAATACTCAGGAGCAGAGAATGGGTGGTCAAGAAACTTTGGAGTTTCTTTTAAAATTTAAATTTGCTTCATGTTGGATATGATAAAACAACTATCTAAGATCATGTAAATCCAAAAATTACCAAAATGGGATGAAAATAGGATTTTTGGCAAAGGTTTGAATGCGGTAGTTTTAGTGGTTGCAATGCTTTTCAGGGGGTGTGGCGGGCGCAGGTGGGGCAATGGAATAAAATCCTCCCTCACTTTTCATACACTCACCTGATATTGCAATATATTCCATAGGGCATCAAAATCGGGCGATGTCCCCTTAAACATGTCTCTGAGAGACTGATTTTTCACTCAAAGTAGTAAAAAGAGCGAAAAAATCATCTTAAAGTAGATTTTATTTTTGAGCAGAAAAAGCGGAAAAAAGATCGGAATCGCATGCGCAGTGCGGTTTACAAAAAGAGCGAAAAAATCGTGAGCGGAAAAAGCGATTTTTTTTTACAAAGTTGGGACACCCTAATAAATTCATATTTTAGTGTGGAATCAAAAACTTTCAAGTTTTATAAAGTTAAAACAAAAATTAGATATTAAATAAAACCAAAATTGGCAACGCCATAAAAATTTCAGGTTGACAAATAAGTAATTCACGCAGGTTTTGATAACATTGATAATTTCGTAAATTCCGTAAACTTTTCCAAATCATTTGAATGATTCGAATGATTTGAATGATTTGAATGATTTCCTCAGAATGCATTCTGAGGAAAATTCGCTCATACATTAATTGTAAACTTGCTCCAATTATTAAGCGTGTCTCTTTATTTGTAAAAGCTTGTAAAATTATTTTACAAGCTTACATTTTTGGTAATTCTGAAAATTCTGTAATCTGTAATGCAAAATTTTTAGACTGAATTAAAAAATTATGATTTTTCTTATCTTAACCCAAGTCAAAGAATGGATCTGTACATTTTTAAGCACGTATGAATTTCAGTAATTAATAATTACGGTGTGTGAGGCGTACAATTTCGATAGCGTGAAAAACTATGAAATCATATTGATTACAAATCCCTCAAAAATGCATTCTTTAAAATTTTATATTAAAAAAGGATCATTTTCGGCAAAATTATGTGTCCACTAAATAAGTTTGCAAAATTATTTAACGAAACTTACAGATTTTATAAAGTTACCAAGCACCACATATTTTGTTGGGTTCGTGGTGACAGCATTTTTCCTGCACGGCCCGGGCACGTCGTTAGGACGGGGTCAGTTTTATGCGGTTTTATGTCTACTTGTAAATACGAGGTGTGAATTGGTTTTGGGTTCTTGGGCAGCTTGTGAAATGAGAGAGAAGTTTTATGGTTTGGTTTGCTTTGAGGGTTTTGTCGTCGTCAGTCCGTTCCCAGCTCTCGACCCGGGTAGAAGTGTGTTTCTCGGTGTGAAGAGAATTTCGGGGATTGTTTTTCTCGGTGTGAAGAGAATTTCGGATTGGGATTTTCGGTGTGAAAGGAGAATTTCGGGGATTGTTTTTCTCGGTGTAAAGAGAATTTCCGTGTTTTTGAAGAGTTTCGGATTTCTCGGTGTTAGTTGAACGAATTTTCGGATTTCTCGGTGCTATCTGGTTGACCGAATTTTCGGATTTTGGAATTCGGTTGGATTGGATTTTCATTTTTGGTGGTGGAATATATATTTTTTTACTGTGTGGGCGTGATGGATCTTCTCACAGTAAATGGGAGAGGAGGAGACCAATATTTGCGACCGGAATATTTATCCCCGCTACCAACCACGGTACGGTAAAATGTGGAATTTTAATGTGTTAATTAAGTTCTTATGCGAAAGTTTAATGTATTTGGTAATAAATGTGAAGAATTGGGTAACATTTAAATTTGACTTAAGACTAGTAAATCTTCCAAGGTTTAAATTTGGCTCTGATTGATATGGTCACAAATTTGATGTTTTACCAAAAAATTACCATAATAAATTGGTAAAAATATGTAACTCTGTCGGTAGCGGTTTTCCACTTGATAATTTCAAATATAAACTCAAATTTTGTTACTGCACTTTTCGTAAAAATGGGTTCCTGGCCAATTCGACGCGGGGACCGGTAACATCTTAATACCAAATCACGATGGGCTTGGTAACTTTGTAAAATCCGTAAACTTACAAACATTTATGTGCATTTGCGTAACTAAAAAAAAATCTAAACAAGTTTTAAAATATTTCTCTCTAATAAATTTATTCATTGACTTGGAAACCCAACTACATTTCGTGAATTTTTTTCTAAATTCTGAAATATAATTCGAATTACAAATTTGGTAACATTTTAAAATTTGTAAACTTACAAACCATTACAAAATTTCATGACTATTTCTGAGGAAAATTAGCTTGCAAATTTTTATAAACTTACTCAGATCTCGGGTGTCTCTTTATTTTATAAAAGTTTGTCAAATTATTTTACAAAATTTACGAATTTTACAAAGTTACTAAGGCCTTCGTGAATTGCCCAAATATTTCGAGTATAATTCTGTAGTTAAATAGTTAGGTACTTAATTGCTGATAAGATTAATGGGTGATCCTTTGAAAGGAAAGGTCAAATGGTGGTCGTGATGTCAACGAGATGTGTCAGCCGTCGAGGTTGCTTTCACTTTCAGTTTCACTCTCTTTTTCCGAGGTGGACGTTGTCACATGGATTTAGCCAAGTAAGTGGTGCTCCGAGTGAAAGTGGAGAAAGGTCCAGTTTTTTCAGGGAAAAGAGTTTTTTTCCAGAGATAAATAAATCTGCCCAATTTTTCGAAGGTAGACTTGAAGGATATGTGTTGGTATCGGTTTTTACCGGTTTGGTAAATATTTGGTAACGTTTTTGGTAAAATTTGGTAAAAATGGTGTGATTATCAAATTGGCAAAGTTTTGAATTAATTGCCAAAAGTCGTGATTAACGGATTTTTTAAATAGAATTGGTAACAAACATAGACCAAATTTTATCAAAATAAAATCCATTTGGTAAAAATACGACCAATTTGGGTAAAAGAAACTATTATAAATTTTATACCAAAATATAGTTAATTACATTTTATACCAAAATATAGTTAATTCGATCGAAAAAATGTGACAAATCTTGTAAATAAAAGTTTATCAAATTGGTCCCAAAAATTTTACCAAGATTTCATTTCCAGTAAAATTTTACCAAACTCGGTACATTTTTTGGTAAAATCTATGTATCACTTTCCTCCCAAAATATCGTCCGAATCACAATTTGTCCTCGTTCTTGTCGTGGTCAGGATATTATTTCGTCTGGTTTTTGCCTCCTTTCGCTTTCACGGGGTTGACACGAGCGTCCCGTGGTTTGGTTTGGCTTGATTTCTGGGTAGTTTATGGTGTGGCAAATTCCGTTATTTTGGAGCTTCCTCGTCGTCGGACCGAGTGGTGGGCCGTTTGACAAGCGGACGGACACATAAATAAATCACGACTCCATTCAGACCAATCCGACGTATGGGACAGATCCCTCCCGTCCATTTACTTTCTCCTCTCACAAAGTGATGGGCGCGCTCACGTCAAAGTTGGTAAACCTGCTAAATTTCGTAGAAAATGACATTGAAAATTTATTCTGGATTTAAAAACGGGTAAAATTTTTGTCGATAAAACTTTGCGAATCAAAATTTGGGGAAACGTTTTGTCTAAAAAAAATTGACAACTTTTCGTAAAATGAAATGGATAGAATTTTTGCGAGAATTTTATCAAAATTTGGCGAAATGCTTTGTCTTAAAAAACTGAGATTTTGTTGTGGCACAAATCACCTCAAAATTAGTAAACCTGACAAATTTCCAAAAAAATGAAATGCTGGGAATTTTCCCAGGATTTAAAACAACTAGAACTTTTGTAGCAGCGAAAATTGTGTATAAATATTTCCGGAAACTTGATGTCTAAAATACTAGCATTAAAATGAAGGACAAAACAACTTCAAAATTGGCAAACGTGACAGAGCAAAATCGGTAATTTTGCAAGGTTTTTAATCTTCTCTGCAAAATTTGCGAGTATAGGTACACTCAAAATTGCATGCACCTATTGTAACCTAAGCTTAATTAATTAAACTCTCGGAAAAATTGTGGGCGTAAATATTTGACCAAAATTTTGAAAAAAAAATAATTAGCAAGAAGTCGGGATTTATTCTGGTAGAATTTTTATCGTGAAAATTCTTTCGAGATTTTTATCAAAATTTGAGAAAAACTTTTTGATACAAACCGAGATACTCCTTTCTCAAAATAAAGGACAAATAATGGCAAACTTCGCTGAACAAAAAAGTGGAATTTTGAACTAGATTAAAAAATTATTTCCGAATCCATCCAGTTTTGCTTATGTTGTTTTTACTTCCGCAAAATATTTTCCTCAGAAATATTCGGAAACTACGCGTGAAAAACTCATCTTTACGCATAAGAGCGGACTGTATCTGTTCTTAATAAATTGTTTATTAAATTTAAATCGCGTAAAATTGATGGCATACAAGTTCGACAATTTCGAAAAAAATTAACTATCGAGAAATTATTTTACTCTGACTTGTTTATTTTGTAAATAATATTTATCATAATTTTACAGGATGTAATGCATTACAATCAGTTCCTACAGGTCTTGGTAACTTTGTTAAATCTCATTAATTTGATCACATGTGAAAGACGGGAGAATTCACGTCAAAATTTTTTATTCAGCTTCACAGCTGAATAAAAAAAATCAAGAATTTTACGATGAATTTTGATATTAAAAATAGATTAAGAACTTTCACGTTATACATTGTTGCATAACTTGCAGTTTACAAAAATTTTCGCAAATTGTAACCCTCCTTAATATATTTATTCAATAATAATAACAATAAGTTTCAGCAGGATATATCAATTCTTTAACTCGTTAGTTTTGATCCGAATAAGTTTATAAAAATTTGTAAGCTAATTTTCCTTAGAAATATTTTTAAAATCTTAGAAAAGTTTGTAAATTTACATATTTTACAATGTTACCAAGCCCTGGGTGACGTGACTCATTTAACTTGATTTAACTTACTAGTAAAGTCCTATTTAATTTCGTCAGTAGTGAAATAGTAAAACAACTCACGTCAAAATTGGCAAACTTCACAGCCGGATAAAAAAATTTGAAATTTTACGATTCGTTCTAGCAATAAAAACAGATGAAGTACACTTCACGGTGAAAATTGTTGTATACATAATTTGCTGTTCACAAAATTTTTCATTTTCCTTCAAAACATTTGTAAAATTTTAAAATTTACGGATTTTACAAGGTTACGAATCTTGCCATATTTAATCGACTTCGTCTCTCATCTCGTGAAATTAGGGCAAACTCACGTCAAAATTGGTAAACTTCACAGCCCGATAAAAAATTAGAATTGTAGAATTATTTTTGGCGTACAAACACAGATAGCCTTCCCAGCACCAATAAATTGTTTCATAATTTGAAGTTTACAAAAATTTTCACCAAATTACGATCCTCCTTAATATTTATTCAACCAATTATAATAATAAGTTTCGGAAATGTCACTTCCTTAACTAGTTACCGGATAAATTTACAAACATTTTGATTTCTGGAAGTAATTTTCTTTCGAAATATTGCCAAAATTTTTTAAAAGGTTGCAAATTTACGGATTTTGCAAAGTTACCAAAGTCTCCGTGACTTGCCTCATTTAATTTAACTTGCAAAGTCTTATTTAATCTCATGAAATATGTAAGACCGAACTCCAGTCATAATTGTTAAATTTCACAACCGGGTTTAAAAAATTAGAATTTATAGATTTATTCTCGGATTAAAAACAGATAAAGTTGCATTGACTGTGTGAATTGTTTTATAATTTGCAATTTGCAAAATTTTTCTAAAATTTTCGCAAATTCTCACTAATATTTGGTCAACGCATAATAAAAAAGCTTTTACCGGAAATGTCAATTCTTTAACTAGTTAATAAACCCCTGTTTCAACAAGACATTAAATTATTCTCGTCGTCAGAGTCATGTGTCACTCGCCTTAAATTAAGAATTTTACAATTTATTCAGTAATTAAAAAAAAGGTACACAGAACTTCATTTTCTATGAAATTTCAAATAATTTTATGAAATTTTATAACATTTCCAGTTTGCCAATTACGATCCTCCTTATTAAATCCATAATAATAATAAGTTTCACGTATAAATTGTTCCATAATTTACAGTTTGCAAAAATTTTCGCAAATTACGATCCTCCAATCCTCCTTAACATTAATTTTTAACACAATAATAATAAGTTTCCGCCGGAAATGTCAACTCTTTTATTTTCTTTAACTAGTTAATAACCCCCGTTTCGACAAGACATTAAATACTTCTCGTCGTCAGAGAAGCCCATGTGTCACTCGCCATAAATAATGGACACGTTGACACCCCTGCAAACAAACCAGTTTGTCTCCCGGACACGAAATCGTTCCGAAAAAACGAAATCGTTGTCCTCAAAAAAGAACAAGAACAAGAACAAGAAAGTGACAAACCTGTGTTGCATTCCGAGTGGACTAATTGTCCCCATTTTTCACCCCGACGCAACATAAAAGTGTCGCGGGAGGGATTAAAAATGAGACTGGTGTAATGAACCGGCCTCCGAATTTATGGGGACGTAATTTGGCAGATGGATAGGCTACCCGGGTTTCGTTCGGGGAGTAATTTGCTATTTTTGTTGAGAAGAAGAGATTTAATTTAGAATATATGTTGTTAGAAGTAACGTGAGGTTTTGTTTTGGGGGTAAGTGGATGGGTTTAATTTGGTAATAAAATTTGAATCTGGCGGGAAAAAATTGTTACCAAGATGGAGTTTAGATTGTAACGAATTATATATTGCTGAGATTATTAGATAATATATTTTTGGTAACGGTTTTGGTAAAAATAATAATTTCTTAGGAAATTTACATTTGTCACAGGCAGGAAATCTTGGTAATTTATTAAATTTGAATTTAGCGGGGAAAATTGTTACCAAATTTATAACGACCGAAGAATGAGTTTAAGCTGACGAATTATATATTGATGGAATTATTTTGGTAACGGTTGTGGTAAAAAAACGTGGGAAATTTAGTTTGTTACATGTACGAAACTTGTTAATATGTAAAATTTGAATTTAGCGGGGAAAATTTTGTACCAAATAAACGTAACGACCAAAGAAGACTTCTAGGCTATTTATCACCAATTCGGTAGAGGAATACGTATCATTGAGAAAGTAGAAGATTGCTAAGAGATTATTTAGAGTTATGCAAAACAATTTTGGTAAATATTTTTTTACCAAATAATTTACCGGGAAATTTAATTTTTTATTTTCAGTTGGACGCTAAAAATTCTCCGCTCGCTCTTCTGGCTCAAACATGCTCGCAAATTGGTGCAGATCCACCCGCTGCGAAGAGCTTGTTGGCCTCGATCACTGCCTCCGCCACGTCTGCGGGAGGATCGTCCTCTTCCTCATCCGGGTCATCTTCCTGTCGTGACGAAGAAGGTCAAGCCCAAAGGTCAGCCTCCGTCGGTAGCCGAGTCACCCCGCCCAACAAGTCAAAACCAGGTCACGGAAATATTAAGGGGTCATCCGCAACTAAAAAATCGAGCGGGAAACAAAAAGAGAAAATTTCCCCGGGCTGGATTTCCTCGTCAGAAACGAAAAATAATAAAATTTCCCCACCCACCAATTCAAGTTTTGAAGTAAAAAGAAGATCCTCCCGGTCCGAAGAGGACGAGAATAATGTAAATGAAGAAGACAATTTTGAACTTGGCGGGGCAGTAGATTCAAAAATCCCGCTTAAAACGAATAAGAAATCACCCTCACCTTCTTCTTGCCGGGGAGAAAGTAAAAGTCCTTCTTCAGAGAAGAGCGGTAAACAAAATTCAAATCATTCGTCCCCGCCGCCACCACCCCCGCCGGTAAAAAATAAGGATAAGTTGACCTTGACCTCGCCCCCGGTGACCTTGCCGTCCTCCTCCTCCATCCTATTTCCCCCCTCATATCCAATCTCTTCTTCCTCATCTGCTCTTGTACCTCCTCTTCCACCCACCACAATCCCGCCGTACCTCCATTCCTACGCGAGACTAAAAGCCGCGGCTGCCTCGTCCGTCTCATCTTCCCCGGATGGATCCTCCCTTCTGGCGGGAAGTCATGCCTACTGCCGCGACCCTTTCTGCCCCGGGTGCACGACCCCCCTCGGCGCGGCGGGACATCATTTAAATTCGCTGGCAAAATGTGCGAGTGGCGGGGGATCCAGCTGTGTGGGGTGTGACCATTCTAATAAAAGTGGTGGTGGAATCCCGCCATATTTCCCGCCTTTATTTCACCCCGGTTTTCTCTACCCGCCCCCGGTAACGGTAACGACGCCATATATTTGTAACTGGATTTCGGCGGGAGAATCCTACTGTGGAAAAAGGTTTGGAACTAGTGAAGAATTACTGCAACATTTAAGGACACATACTACGAACAATAATAGCTCGGCGGTAGATTTGAATCTGTACGGATCGCGGTCTTACCCTACCCCGCCGTTAAGTCCGATTTCGGCGGGAGGAGCGGCGGGATCGGCGGGGGCGAGGTATCATCCCTACGCGAAACCGGCATATCACCAGTCACAAGTTGGGTCATATAGTTCGTTATTTCCATTTTTGGGGGGTCAACAAGGGTCAAGTTTTGCCGCTTTGGCGGCCGCGATGAATAATCCACTAAGTCCGTATTTTCCGTATGCCTTGTATGGGCATAGATTAGGCGGGGGAGGGGGTGGAAATGGCGGGATGGGGAATCAGTAGATTTTTTTAAAAGGGACGAAAAAATTTTGGCGGGTAAAGAAAAAAATTTTGCGGAATATGTAATGTAAGTTAAGAATGCTCAAAAATATGAAGAATCTTGTCGTCTTATAGATTTTAAGGAAGGTTTTTTGACGTTGTGATTCACGTGGATTTTTGTAACGGTGTAATTTTGCAAAAGTTTACGAATTTGATGACAAACTGTGTAAGATGGATTTACGATTTTTACAAATTTATGATTTTTAAAATTGTCTAATTTGCAAAATTTGGGGATTTTGTTTCAATTTGTGTAATTTCAAAGCTTAAAAAAGTTTTTTTTTCAATTTTTTCGTAAATCGTACAATTTCAAAGTTTAAGAAATTTTTTTTCAATTTTTTCATAAATCGTCTAATTTACAAGGTTTTAGAAAAATTTAGGAAGTTCATCGGTTATGTATTTAAATTTGCTAGAATGTTTGTAAACTTTGCAAAATTTACGAAATTACAAATGTCCACGTGAACCACACCACAAACTTAACTTCAGGAAAACAAATTTGTCAATCATAAATATTTAAGTATCAATACTTTTCCCTAGTTTTTAGTTTGTAAACCTTGTATTTTTTCAATATTTCTATTATGCAAATTAGTCTTGCGGAATAATAATTACTTATGTATATTTGACACGCTTACGATTTAGTCGATAAGTCATTAATTAATTAATAAATGTTTAAAAAATACTTATTTGTGATGGTAACCAACCCTCGTCTTATCAAGTAATAAAGATAATCTTGTCCCATTTAACAAAATATGTGAAGAATTTTTTGAAAATAAAATGAACCGAAATTTCAGAAAAAAATGATCCGTGCTTTCTCCACTTTCACCACTTTAGAATTTAATTTACCTGATTTGCATAGCGAACGAGCAAAAAATATGTTGATCCAATTCACGCAGTTCTTTGTAACTTTGTAAATTTTGTAAAATAATTTTACAAAATGTTATAAAATAAAACTTTGATCTGAATAAGTTTTTAAAAAATTTGCAAGCTAATTTTCCTTGAAAATAATCCTAAAATTTTGTAAAAGTTTCCAAGTTTACGGATTAAAATGTTACGAATGGCTGCTTGAATTTCCGCATTATTTTACACGATTTGAAGCATTTACAGACATTGAATTCACTGAAATAAGAGCAAAGTCATGACAAAATTGGTAAACTTCACAGCCTGATTTAAAAAATTAGGAATTTATGATATACTCTGGTACTAAAAATAGATAGACCTTGTCTCGCCCTATAGTTTTGAGCGTAGCAGTCCTTCGTAATTTTGCAAAATAATTTTACAGACTTTTTCAAAGTAAAAAGACGCCCTTGATCTGATCTGAGCAAGTTTACAAAAACTACAAGTGCAAGTTTGCAAAAAAATTGTGAGCTAAATTTCCTTCTAAATATTTTTTGTAAGAGTTTGTAAAGGTTTGCAGGTTTACGGATTTTACAGAGTTACCATGTCCTGGGTGAATCGCCTTGGGTTACGTACATACAATTTTTTCGAAATAGAATTAACTAAAATTCCCGCAAATAATTTGTCCTCCACTTGGATTTAATTTACTTACTTGATTTGCATAGGATTTCTTCTTTCGCCCATAAATAAACTTCGTCTGTTAAAAGAACGAAGGAAGAAGATGGAATAAAAAATAATAATAAATAAACAAAAATAAATAGCTGATGCTGATGGGATTCCAATTTAAAAATTTGCACAGTCCATGACACCTGAATTTATAAAAATTTGTGACCTAATTTACCATCAAAATATTTGTAAAAGTTTTTTAGTTTCTGGATTTTACAAATTTTACAAAGTTACGAAGGCCTCCCTGAATTGCCTCAATATACAAGTTTTTCGAAATATTTCGAATAAAGTGAAATTCCGCAAAATATTTGTCTCTGCTTTCTCTAGTTGGATTTAATTTACCTACTTACTTGATTTGCATATGATTCTTCCTCCGTCCATAAATAAACTTCGGCCTGTTAGAAGAATGAGGGGAAGGAGAGAGTAAAACTAAAAAAAATAAAAAATATGGAATAAATGGCTGACGGGAATCCAATTTAAAAATTTGCACAGCCCATGACACCTGTCACGTCGACGAGGGCGACGACAGGGACAGGCGACACGACAAAACAACTACATACCGCATTATTCTCCATCCTTTCTCTCTTTATTACATATTCCGCCACGGCCAGACGACAACGTCATGAGACTGACAAGCATGATGAATGGGGAGACAGACACGCTTAAAAATGAGGGGGAGGATTTTTGGAAATTATGAAATTACGGAGAAACATGATTAAAAAATATAAATAACATAGTAAGAAACTTCAATTTTAAGGAATTTTTTGAGATTCGTAAACAGGGAGATGGACCACTTAAAAATGGAGGAACAACTTTTGGAAATTCTTTAAGAGTTACAAGAATTTTGGGGAGGAAGACACGATTAAAAATTTTTTTTTGAAAAAACGAAGAAAAATAACTGGTTTTTCTGGATTTCGCAATTTACAAAAATTAAATTTGTAATTTAATATTCTGAACTCTTTAAAAGTAAAGGATTTTTGTAATTTATTTATCTACAAATGGAAGAAAATTAGAAGAATTTGTAATTTTTAGAATTAATAATTTTTAAAAAATTGAATAGGTTGGTAAGAAACATGAGGGAGGTTTTTGCAATTTATTATTTGTGTGAGGTCCTTATTTCTTAATTTTTTTAATTAATGAGGAACTTAAACACAGAAATTTTGGTTTTTGTAATGGTGTGATGATGCTTAAATTGATTTTTTTAAGATATTCACTTGTGATTTTAATTTTCTAAACTTGTTAAAAAATGTGACCAAATTGGTAACAAAATACGAGTCAGTCCGTGGTAACATATTATTACCAAACTGGTAATGAACTTGGTAATTACCAAGTTATTTGATCCCACAGAATAAGGGGGATTTTATAAAAAGTGGATTTTTAAGAGTGCATCAACGTAGAAAGAGGACGCCTGACACGACGAGTTTACTACAACCGACAGCTTTCTCTTCATTTTCTCCTTGTCTGTCTCGCATCGCGTTTCATTCCATCCTTATTTTTCACCGTCAAAGCCAATTCACGCCAAGTTTTGTTAACTGTGCAAAATTATGAAACAAGATAAAAACGCATTTAATTTATGCAAATGTAATTTTTTTTTACGGATTTTTAGGTACGAATGTCATGATTTTTTAAATTTCGACAGCGATAAAGTTAATTTCTTCATAAAACATGAATTTTCAAAACTTGTCGAGTTTGTAAATTTTGATTGAAACTTACCTGGTTACAAATTTTTTAAATGCTCAAACGCATAATATCCAAAAATTCTTAAAAATTTAATTGATAATGTTTTTATTTCGAGAATTTTTTTAAAAACACCAACGTTTTTATATACCTAAACTCTCAGGGATGCATAGATAATATCCGAAACTATTTTTAAAGTCGCAAAAATCCAGCATATTTCGGTTTCATCAAAATTTATGAAAATTTCTAAATTTTGTATGAAACCTATCTTTCTTTAAAAAAAACAAAAATTTCATAAATGCCTAAACTCTAAGAGACGGATCTTACCCGAAAATTATAAGATATCGCATATATAAATCCAACATATCTTGGTTTTGTCAAAATTTAGGAAAATTTTTAAACTCTGCTTGAAACCTTAAAAATTTCGGAAATTCTCAGTGATGGGTAATATCCGAAAATTATTATTTTTTAAATCATACAACACACCCACGCCCACCTCCTATTTTATTGTGGAGACAAGTGAAATCAGAATTTTCTTAATAATAAATGGCAAACTTTCTCCTTTTTTGAAGCCACGTTTGATCTCATCTGGGACATTTTGGTTTCGTCAAAATTTATGAAAATTTTTAAACCTTGCTTGAATCAAACCATAAAATTTCAGAAATTCTCAGTGAAATCCGAAAATCATATTTTTTTAACATCGCATAACACGTCCACGCTCACTATCTATTTTTTTGTGGAGAAGATAAAAGTGAAATCAGAATTTTCTTAAGAAAGGTGAATCCTCCTTTCTCCTCGGTTTTTTGATGGCACGTTTGATCCTGTTCTCATCTGGAGAGGACGGTTGTCCAATTAAGTCGGGTAGGTTCGAATGCCGGGTTTTTGGATTGGCATCCCATTATTATTCGCGTATTATTCTTCGCGTGATTCTGACATGTAGAGGTTTTTTGAAGAGAAGGCTGAATAATAGGTGCATTTACTTTCTTGTAATTTGGGTAAAAAGTGAGGTTATTTTTTACCCGGGACTTTTTTAAAGCAAAATAGATTACAGAATATTTTTAGAAAGTTAGAGATTTTTTTAAATTTTGAGATTCGCAACGAGATGCTTGTAACCTGGTAAAATTTATGGTTTGTTAGACTTGATTTATTAAGTTCGTAAATTTTAAATGTTCAAATGTTAAATTTTGTACGATTTTTTATTACGGCTAATTTGGATTTGCAAAATGTTTAATCGCGAGGACGGAATAAGTTTTGTTAATAATTTTGATTATAATAGGACCGTAGGTATAAAGGTTATTGCGACATTACTTCAAATTACAGAAAATTCTAACTTAAATCTTGTCCAATCAATTAATTTTTGGTACAACCTACCAAATCTTAAGCCTTAAAACATAGTTTATTTTCCCCACTTTTTTTCACAATGAATTTCCATTCAAATAATTAAACTAATTTTTCAAACAATTAATGGTTTGTAGTCTCAAAAATTAAGTTTGTATTAAAGTTTAAAAATTTACCTTGATCTGAAAACTTATCAAATTGAAGGCTTTTTAGCAACTTCCATTTAAAGATATTGAACAGTATCAAATTGAAGGCTTTTTAGCAACTTCCATTTAAAAATATTGAACAGGGGTATAGTGAGATTAACAATCCATGACATATCAAATCGTCATCCTCTATAACCTTAATACTTTTCCGTAGTAAATTATGACTGGGATGCATCTTCATCTTCAGTAAATTTTACGTTTAAAAAAGGGCAAAAATATTAATTCCGGCGTCGAACTCAACAAAAAGTGCTAACTTTTATTCTATAGATTGCAAGAAATTATAAATGTAAAATTTCATCTCTGGCGAATGAAAAGTACATAAAAATTGAAATAATTTATCAAGTTGAGTGTGAAAGATTCGTGGGGATTTTTGTAATGTGGTACGATTTATGTAATTACTTATAATTATTCGTAATTACTTGATTTATTAAGTTCAAATTATAAAATAATTCCGCAAAAACCTCAAAAATCGCAAAAGTCGCAAAAAATCAAAAAGCTGCAAAAATACTGGTAAAACT